GATAGTTTTTCTTTAGTTTTCATTCCATTTTAATAGAAGCAGTCAGTTTTGTTCCGTGAAGTTTAGTTATAGACAGTGAACCATGATTTCAGATTGAGTAGATAGAGAAATATTTTCTCTGTTGACTTTGTTTTAGATAAGGATATGTTTCTTAGAGAAGGTATATGGATTTTATAGGTAGATTAAGCAGCGTCCCTGTTTATCTTTGTTAAGGGTTTCTGTATGGGTATAGAAATCTAATAAATCCCTCTCAGATTCTTTCGTTGAAAAATGCAACCTAGATCAGCTTTTCCTATGAGAATCCCCGAGCAGTTCCAAATGATTGACAAAATTTCCAAGGAACACTTGAAAAGCTAGACAAAAAAAACGAGAAATTCTTGTAGATTGCCTAGAGACTACGAAACTCCAGCCCCTAGGCAATCTACAAGGATTTCTGTTTTTTTTTGCCTAGCTTTTCAAGTGTTCCTTGGAAGTTTTGTCAATCATTTGGAACTCCTCAGGCATTCTCATAGGAAAAACTGATCTAGGAGCGTGTTCCGCGAACGTGAAAGCCCTTTTTTAAGAAAAGAAAACATTTCTTAAGAGTGAGAACGCATTCTTGACCGTTCCACTTTGGAACGCATTCCACTTTTATAGAGAACGTTTTTCTTAAAAAAAGTTTTTCTATGAAAGTGGAACGTGTTCTTTGCCATTATTTTTGATAAATATTTTTCATCGAGAAGGGCAATTGTAACATGTCACCATTGCTTTTACTAGTTGGCAAAGTTCATTATGTTGATCTGATATTGTATCAAATGTTGAATGATATATTTCAACCGTTAATGATTTCGTTGATCTATTCTCTTGTTGTCCTTTGGTTTTTTCATATCACATCGGGTAGTCAGTTTATGCGGTATTGGATGTTCAATTGGTTATGTACCATGCTGTTGAGTGCCATTGTATCTTTCTTTTTAATCAATTTTGGTGTATTTGCCAATATTCTTCTTATCATTTTCGTTATTATTATGGTTTCTGGTGCTACCCTCCAGATATCACTTGAGCTTTCATCACGATTCTTTCGTTATGGCTACGCATCACCTATGTATAATGCAATGAATGGTGGTCGACATCTTCTGTTTGGTTCATATTCACGTTTCGGTATTAATGTTGGGTTGTTAGTTATTTATCTTTGTGTGACGATCACATTGAATATTTTGACTATTATCTTCCGGGCCAAAAAGCATAAAAAAAATATGCAAAAAGGAAATGAAAAGAAAAAAAATGTGACGAATAGAAGCAAAACTATGCATAAAAATGATCAATCTATTCGCATGTAAATATTAGACTATTTGAACATGATTATTTGTTTTTTTTCATTCTCAGTATTTTCTATTGTATTGATTTCAATTTTGATCTAAATTTAATGTAGAAAGTTAAACTTCAGGAAAGTTTACCAATTTAACTTTTACATAAGATAGCATATGTGGAAGTCTTGATCATTGATATTATTGTTGTTGTGAAGGATTTATTCTTCCTTATGAACGATATATGTGCGTGTTTATTTTCTATCTCTTTCTGTTATGTGCCTGTTTCTTTAGTACTTTTTGATCATTGAAAATTGTTCGCTCGTTTCCTTTCATTATATACTCTACATTCGATTGTATTCTTTCTCGGTCAATGAACATTGATATTGACTTTGATCTTTTATTTTATTATTTTTGCGTATTAACTTTTCTATTGCATATTTTATAATACGTGATACGGTTATCATCATATATACATATATATTCCTTGTTCTACTCGAAAGGATGGTTATTGTTCGCATTCTCTTCTTCTTGATTCTTTCATTCTTCATTATTGAAATAAAATTGAACTCATGTTCAACAAAATACAAAATTTACATTGGCAACGACAGTGTTCTTTTCTCTTATTCATTCGTTCATCATATTCAACACACGAATTGTTTTTTCTTATTTTCAGATTCCTTCATCAATTATCTTCCTGATTTCTGCAATCATTCTTCATGGCTCAATCAACGTCAACGTCAACATTTCAACCGCCAACTGTCTCTTCAATATCTGCAATTCATGCTTTTGATACTCGCACTAGTACTTGGCAATCGTATAGTGATCGAGTAAGTTTTTACTTTCAAGCAAATCGCATTCATGCCGATGAAGATAAAAAAGCACTCTTTGTTGGGTCTGTTGGTGATACAACATATAGTTTACTAGAATCATTGATCTCACCACGATCATTAACTGGTGACCTTACCAAATTCACCGATTTAATCAAGTTGTTAGATGATCATTATGATGCAACGAAAAATATGATGACCTCAACATATGATTTCTACTCTTATTATCAAAAATCAGGACAAACATTTGCTGAATAGAAAGCTGAATTATGTGAAAAACTACGTCATTGGGGATTTACTATATCTGCTTTAAAAGATAAGCCACAAGATCGTGTACTTCGTGTGTTGAATATGATGAACGAATGAATAAGAGAAAAG